TGAAGGAAGGCAGTGGAGAAGTCGAGGGAGTGAAGCTCGTAGTCACGCTGAGCAGCTAGGTGTAACAGAACCCGAAGAGTAGTCATCTTCGGGGTCGGAGCGAAGGTCTGGAAGAAGTCCACCCCCTCGCGCTGACTGAAGCCTCTAGCCACATAGCGCGCCTTGAACACAGGCGGCTCTCCAGGAGGGCGCTTCACCTTGAAGAGCCAGCGGCCATCGACTACGTTCACCCCAGCCGGGGGAACTGCGTCGACGAAAGTGCCGGTGGATCTCCAAGATGCCATCTCCTGCTCCATGGCAGCTATCCACTGCGAGGCCCAAGGTCCCAAGGTCGCCTCAGCGTAAGTGCGAGGGGTCGGGATGTCGAAAGCGGCGGGGTCACCCTCAGGGACTAGCAGCATGGAACAGAGATGACCAGGAACAGGGGGGGGTAACTGGGGGACCACGGTGGGGAAAGCGACGGTAGTAGGGGACGGACTCGTCAAAGGTGACGTCACGAGAGTGAAAGAAGCGGTGAGACGGCGGGTGGTAAAAGTGCCAGTCGGACGCGTCAAGAGGAAAACCGAGGAAGACGCAGGGAAGGGTGCCGGCAGTGAGCTTGTCCGTGCCGGAGGCACGAACGTGAGCAAGGCAGCCCCAGACGTGGAACGCAGACGCGTCACCAGGAGACCCAGTCCAAAGACTGGTCGGCGAAACCTGCGGCTGCTGAGGGTGCGGCCACAAGTCAAGCTGGTGAGAAGCGTAGCGCACAGCGAACGGCCACAGAAAATGGGGTGCACCGGCATGGATCATGGAGGTGCGAGCCACCTCCATGACCAAACTGATGCGTCGCTCAGCGACCCATTCTGCTGTGGGGAGTCCGGTAGGGTGAACGTCTGGGTGATGCCCTCCGCACGACAAAAACGACCAAGGACACCGGAGGCAAACTCGCCACCACGGTCTGAGTGAGGACGCAAGACAGGGAGACCCGCGGTGGACCACGCGCAGAGACAAGCCAGGGGATGAGAGCGCCAGGCACGTCGGCCTTGCGCTCTAGGGGAAAGACTGTGGTGTAGCGAGTGAAGTCGTCGACGAGCACAAGGAAGTAGCGCTCTCGACGCGGCCCAGGGACGGGGCGGGGCCCCAGACGTCCAGGTGCAGGGTCTGCAGCGGCGCAGCGGTAGGGGGAAACGAGGAGGAGTGAGGGGCACGGCGAAGCCGACCCTCGACGCAAGGCGTGCAAGGTGGGGCTGGGGAGGAGGGAAACGCGGGAGAGAACCTGGGAGACCAAGGAGAAGACCGTGCTGGGACATGTGACGCAGACGCGGGAGCGCAGGGTGACCTAGGCGGTGGTGCCAAAGGAGGGTCAGGTGAGTGAGGGACCGACAAGGAGCAGGCGGCAGCAACCTGGGTGGAGCGCTCCAGCCGGGGGGGTCACGGTGTCCAGAGTGAACAGGCCGGACACCGGGTCCCGGGGGAACGTGGACAGGGGGGCACTAGTGGCGGCCTCGGTACAGACATCATACCGCTCGTGACCAGGGAACGTAGTGGTGACGCCAAGGTCCTGGAGGCAACCGACACCAACTAGGTTCCTGGAGAACGAGGGGATATGCAGACCTGTGAGAGTGCCCGAAGGAACCGCCGGACAGGGAAGGGTGGTAGAACTGCGGGCGACTACCGGACCGCCGGAGGGGTCAGCAAGAGAAACGGCAGCAGGAACAAGAAGCGGCGTCAGGGTGGTGGAGTCGCGGAAGAAACACCGAGAAGCGCCAGAGTCCAAGGTGAAGGAGAGCGACGCAGAGGCGGCTGGCGACGGAACGACGGCGGAAGCACCAAGACTACACAAAGCAGAGGATCCTACATCTGACGCAGCAGGGGAGGCTACGCTAAGCACACCTACACTAGGCAACAGTGAGTAATAAGCTGGAAGCACACTAGAGTCATCACCATACATCACATGCAGAGCAGAAACAATGGCATCCATGTCCATATCAAAGATCTGAATCTGACGACTAAGCAAACTGTGCCAGTCCGGGAGGTCTGGCGACGGGCCGAAGCGCTGACAAAAGAGGTCGTCCAGGCGACGAATACAGCGGGGAGTGGAGTGACCGATCTTACCGCAAACGAAGCCGCGGCGAGGACCGGTCTGGATCTGGTACTGACAACGCCCGCCGCCAGAGCCACCACTCGGCACACCACCACGCGCCCGGCCTCCGCCAGCGCCGGGCCACCCGGGCGGGAGGACACTCGTCTGCCGCGTCTGCGACGGCTGCTGCGGCTGCTGCGAAGGCTGCGACTGCGGCGGCTGTGCGGCTGCTGCAACTGCAGGGGACGGCGGCTCAGCTGGACTGGGCAGGGTCCCCTTGTCCGCTCCAGCACCAAACGACCCGACCCCACCACAACCCCCTCCCGCACCCCCGCCTCCGCCTCCGCCGCGCCCAACCTTGGGGCGGCGGCCCTTTCCCGAACGAAACTGCGCTGAAGCAGCATTCTCAGCCACTGCGGCAGAGCCGTCGGAGAAGGTACACTGAGCGGGGGCACAACCCTGAAAGATAGGGACCGGCACAACACCGCTCGCCTGGGCGATGGAGCGGTGACGTGTCTCTATCACAGTCAGGGTGTCTACAAAGTCAGTGAGGGTGAGGTCGGCGGGGTGAAGGCTAAGGAAGCGGTCGCGGGCGACAGCAAGGCGGTCAGGGAGGCGGGTGGCAAGCAGGTAGATGGTAGAGGTAATGGGCGGCTGGTGGGCGCTAAGCTGTGCGTCAGTGCAGGCGGCGCGCCAGGTCTCCTCTATCGAGCGCAGGTGGGCAGCGAGGTCAGAGACAGTGGGGAAAGATGCAAGGTCAGGAAAGAGCATCGGGAGGATCAGGCGACCCACCGAGGCAGCCGGAGGGGTGGAATAGCGCTTGATGACAGCATCTAAGTATGCCTGAGCAGTAGTGAGGGACCTAAAGCGAGGACGCTCGGACGGGGGGAGGGCGTTGCTAATGGCAAGCTGAGCGACAGCATCGCGAGAAAGCCAGACAGAGCGCGCACGGGCAGTGGCAGCAGTAGACTCACGCTCAGTGGGTGTGGGGTCAGCGGGCAGAATAGCAGGGGGGTCTGGGCAGGGGAGCGTACCGTCAAGGTGTGCGGAAAGCGGCTCACCATCCTGCCGCTGGCCAGTGAGTTGGCGGCGGAGGTCGGCAAGCCACGCCTCGAACTCTAGGGGCTGACCTTCAGCGTCGAAGCGAAGCTCCGCCGCCATCAGGAACAGTCCAGTGCGGTGCAGGGCAGTGCAGCTAAGTGGAGTGTGGTGCGGTGCGGTACAGTACGGTGCAGTGCGGTGCAGTGCGGTCCAGTGCGGTGCAGTGCGGTGCAGTGCGGTGCGCTGCGGTGCAGTGCGGTGCAGTGCGGTGCAGTGCGGTGTAAGGCAGTACCGTGTGGTGCGGGGCGGTACGGTGCAGGGCAGTACAGGGCGGGGAGGGGGGGGAACCGTACCAGTGAGGAGGACGGGGCCGGGGCAGCGGGGCCGGGCAGGTGCGACAGGGCCGGGCGAGGGCGACGGGGCCGGGCGGGCGCGACGGGGCCGGGCAGGCGCGACAGGGCCGGGCTGGTGCGACAGGGCCGGGTCGGGGCGTCGGGGCCGAGCGAGCGCGACGGGGCCGGGCAGAGGCGACGGGGCCAGGCGGGTGCGATAGGGCCGGGCCGGTGCGACGGGGCCGGGCGAGCGGGACGGCGGCCGGGCGGGTGCGACGGGGCCGGGCGGCTGCGACGGGGCCGGGCAGGTGCAACGGGGCCGGGCGGGCGTGACGGGGCCAGGCTGGTGCGACGGGGCCGGGCTGGGGCGACGGGGCCGGGCTGGGGCGACGGGGCCGGGCGAGCGCGACGGGGCCTGAAGGCGGACGGGGCCCAGGAGGGGCACGACGGGGGCCCAGGAGGGGTGCTACAGGGGCTCAGGAGGAGCGCGACGGGGCCCAGGAGGGGCGCTACAAGGCCCAGGAGGGGCCGCGGACGAGAGGCCTGGGAGGGGCGCTACGGGGCATGGGAGGGGCGCGACGGGCCCGACGGGCCAGGGGGCGCTACAGAGGGCCCAGAGAGGGCGCGACGGGGCCCAGGAGGGGCGCTACGGAGCCCAGGAGGGGCGCGACGGGGCCTGGGAGGGGCGCGACGGGGCCAGGAGGGGCGCTACAGGGCCCAGGAGGGGCGCTACGGGGCTGGGAGGGGTGGCGACGGGGCCCAGGAGGGGCGCTACGGGGCCCAGGAGGGGCGCGACGGGGCCCAGGAGGGGCGCTACAGGGCCCAGGGAGGGCGCGACGGGGCCCAGGAGGGGCGCTACGGGGCCCAGGAGGGGCGCGACGGGGCCCAGGAGGGGCGCTATGGAACCCAGGAGGGGTGCGACGGGGCTTGGGAGGGGCGCGACGGGGCCTAGGAGGGGGCGCTACAGGGCCTAGGAGTGGCGCGACGGGGCCTGGGAGGGGCGCGACGGGGCCTGGGAGGGGCGCAACGGGGCCCAGGGGGTCGCGACGGGGCTAGGGGCTAGAGGGGTGAGCGGAAGCGGGAGGTGGTGGGGATCCTACCTACGCGTGATACCATATCAGAATTGAAAAGTTAATGATAGAGTGAGAGTACACACAAATATACCTAAGTGTTGTACCCTCTAAGAGGTGACCCTATACAGTCTATACAAACATAACAAATACACATGTTTGACACGCACCTCTTCAATATCGTTTAGAGCGCATAGCGCGATAGTGACGAACAGGTACATTAGCGAATAGGTACTTTTCCTAGAACTAAAAATACTTGTTAGGTCTTTTCATTATTAACTTTGATTACTCACAAGTTCACGTACTCAGGTTATTCAACCTTGACCTTTACATTTTACAAGACTTCTGCTGTCTTACTAGTCTACCATTCCAGCAAAGATCCTGGACCAACACTTGAGGATTTGCCAAGTGTTCGTGTTTATAGTTTTTAGTCTACTACAACACCTGTCGATTTATTTCATGGTATGAGAGCTATCTGGAATTAAGACTACCGTCAACTATGACTGGTTCATCACCAGCACCATCTGCTGGATCAGTTACTGGGACTACTTGAGCACATGCCTCCACTACCGCCGCTGGTCTCTCAGCCTATGGGCATTTTCCACCAGCCTACGCTAATATCGGTATGCAGAATCCGCCTTCTGTGTTCCATCGACTGCACCTGCAACGCAACAGCAACAATCACAGACAACAGCACAGCAACAAGCATCAGTACAGCCACCAGTTTCAACGCAATCAATTTCATCTGCGTTCAGTGGAATGAGCCTTGATGGCTCAAGTTACATGCGTGGAGCTACAGCTCCAAGTACTGGTTCGTTCGCTTTCTCAGCTTTCGTACAGCAGCCGCAGTCGCCAGCAGTTTCAACATCCTTTTTATATTTTCGGACGTTCTCCTGCTCAACAACCACAGCAAGTACAGCAACAGCAACATCAACAGCAACAGCAACAACAGCAACATCAACAGCAACAGCAACAACATCAACAGCAACAACAGCAACAGCCATGCATTGTTTTTCAGCCTCCAAATTTACTTAACAATACTCAAATCAAGACAACCGTACCTTTTAATGGTGTTGACTTCTACTCATGGAGCTTTGAGTTTGAGCTTCTGGCGCAGTCCGCTGGGCTATGGCCTTTCTTCACTGGCGAGTTTACGTATCCAGTCGTGGGAACACAACTGGAACAGCAGAGTTTCTTGCACGCCTCTCTCGGGGCGTATACAGTTCTTGTACGGAACTTGTCGCCGAAAGAGCAGCTCGGCGTTCGATCATTTCACTCAAGTTTCGCCCCAGCCGAAACTGCATGAATCATCTGAAAGGGGTATACATGGCAAAAGATACGATAACAGTGAGTAAAATACTTTCGCAGCTGACAAGTGTGCAGATGATGACAAACGAAAACGTCATGGACTACGTTAACCATGTCTGTACACTACGCGATCAACTGGAAAAGAGCGGAGGATACTTCCCTCGTGAGATGTATCTCACGGTCCTTCTGGCTGGTCTTGGACCCGAATGGCGACAGACGCGCGCCTTCCTGCGCATGAATCCCAATCTCTCCGAAGCTGAAATTTCTTCTTATCTTCAAGCAGAGCAGCAAGATCTTGACCTGCAGTCACAAACGCAATCAGAAAAAGGGACTACACTTGAGTTTTTACTCCAATCCAGAACAACAGCATCGACAACCACCGAAGTATCCATTCTGCCACTTCTGTAAGAAACCAGGACATACTTACCAAAATTGTCGCAGCCGTCATCAAGCTCGTCGCCCAACTTCGCAGCCGTATCACCGCTCGCAGCAGTTACCGAAGACACAACAGCCCACAGGAGCAGTTAACGTCTCAGCAGCAGCAAGATGCCGAAACCGTCGCAGAATTCATCAACGTCGCAGCATCGCCCGCCGGTCTTCGCATCTGCCACAACAGGAAAAGGAGTTTTCGGATGTGTTACAACAGTTGATTTGCCAGAAACAGATTTCGAGACCAACTTGAAGAAACCACAAGTGCTGAAGGCATTCCTTTACCTCAAGTTTACGCTAACCTCGCTCGTATAATTTCAGGTCCAAATACCTGGTATCTCGACAGTTGCTGCGAGATGGCACATGTGCTCAGCAGAAACAAGCTCCATTACCAACCAACGTTCACTTCGTCGTCCGATACTTGTGACAGTCGCAAACGGACAAAGCATTATGGCACGAGCAGTTGGAAGTGTGATGCTCGAATCTATCGACACGGGATACTCACTTCATGTTACTAATGTTCTTATCGTCGCCGGTCTTGGCTTCAATCTTCTTCCACGGCTCAACTCCTGGCACACAAAATCCGCACACAGGGCAATTGTGACACGATGGATCAGGAGCTCTGGCATAGTTCGACGAATACTTATCTTGGTCGTGCCGCCACTCAACATGGCGTATCCGTTCTTCAGTTCGCAGCACAAGGAACTTCTGGATTCTGAACGGGTGCTTGCACTTGGTCCCTGGGATCACCCAGAAGAAACAGATTATCAAACGTGGATATTGACTTTCGAGCCAACTTCAGTACCACAACTTCTCGACCAGCAGCAGCCGTACTTACCGCGTTAGATACCTGGGAGTTCAATACCGCCGATGAAAGCGCCACCACGTGGCGAACTTTTATAATACCCGTGCAGCCTTCCAAGGAACTCCAGCACCACTTTGGGGAGAGATAAGTGGTCTTGCAGCTGATGAACCTGACGTTGTTGAAGAAGCCGAACAGGAAGCCGTAGCTGAGCAGCCGAGTCCAACCGTAGCTGTCGCCGAAATACCTGCACGGCATCAACAGAAGCAGTATCAGGGGTTATACTCGCAACTGCAGCAGCAAAATCACAAGTCACGTTACCTCTTCACCGTTTCGTCGAAGGAGAAATTGACAAGTCACCAGCCCTTTCTCCTTTCATTCTTTCTTCCTTTATACTAACTCCGATTTCTACCTGCGATCATCAGGACACAAAGCCACGGCAGATATATGGCATCAGCGGCTAGGACATCCATCACAAGGGATTCTTAATCATTCAATCGAGCAGCAGTTCTTGATAAAAATAGTTTACTTTTACCTGATGGCACGGAGATGAAGCCGCAGTCTCGTCCGACAGTTTGCACCACTTGTCCAGTTGCCAACCTTACGCACGATCCGTTTCCAAGTCATTTTCCCGGCTCAACCCGTTATCAACTGATGCAGAAAGTCTACAGCGACATACTCAACTTGTCTGAAGCAGGACCTAAAGACGAGAAGTATGTGATAACCTTCATCGAAGCGTCTACACGATATGTCTGGACAGCTAACTTACCTGCGCGCCATCTCGCTCACTCCGTCTTCGTCGCATGGCTCGCTGTCGCTGAACGAGAGTCAGGAGTGAAACTGCAAGAATTTCAAAGTGATGGTGCAGGGAGTACACCAGCAATACCTTCACAGAGTACCTTCAGACATTCGGCATCAAACGGAAGCAGTCACTGCCTCATGCACACCAACAGATGGGGTAGCAGAATGAACAGAACTCTGCAGGAGAAGATGCGTGCTCTGCTGACGCAGGCAGCTCTTCCACCGCATTTTTGGCCGTATGCGATGGACCACGCTGCTGTTACACAATCTTCTTTCTTCAACATCCTGCCCGAGTTTCTTCTCCACACCTGCAGTGGGAAGCACAAAACTTTTACGAGTTTTCGGGTGTGTTGTACAGTTTCGTCCTCCAACCGCATCACTCGGAAAATTTTCCGAACGAGCAAAATGGGGGGTACACCTCGGCATCGAAAAACAGTATCACGCGTGGAAGATTTTGGATCTTCGCTCCCATCAAATCGTTCCATCACGTGATTGTCTTTTCTATGAAAGACTCACCTTGCCCGTTTTTCGTGCCCACCAGGCAGCAGCTGCCAACTGCCAGGCTGTTCGAAGGCTCGCGTGCGTTGCAACTGACGAAGCCGAAGCTGATGTACAGGAGAGTTTCTGAAGCTTCCGAAGCTGCCGCAACGACATCCCGAACCTGTCACCTCGACTGGCATACCTGAATTCATTCCTCTTGCAGATGCTGACCAGGATGATGTTCGCGAAGTTTATCTCAGTTACGAACGCGATCGCCAACAGCAGCCGATGCCCGTCGTCTCCGACGAAGCAGTTCGTGTTACACCTGACGAAATTGGGGGGGAAGAAGGACCAGAAGAAAATTTCGCAGGTGCAAACGAAGAACGTCCGCGCTTTACAGAAACAGGATTACAGATATTGGGGTTCGCAGTCGCAGTACAGTACAACGACAGTAAATACCTGAACCAAAAACCGTTCGACAAGCTCTTACGAGTCCTCACCGAGAAAATGGCGCGAAGCCATGGACAAGGAGCTAGCAGCACTCAAGAATCACGGAACATGGGATTTAATACCGACTTCAAAGTAAAAGGGAAGAAGGTACTTACCGGAAAATGGGTCTTCCGTGTCAAGACTAATGCAGATGGGTCGTTTGAGAAATTCAAGGCGCGATGGGTCGTCCGCGGTTTGACAGACTTACGGCATCGACTACGAATTAACTTTGCTCCTGTCGGCCGACATACAAGCGTTCGGATTCTACTTTGTGTCGCCGCCTGCCGTAATCTCCGACTTCGACAAATCGACTGTCTAATGCATTTCTCTACGCCCGTCGACACGCTTATCCTGGTAGAGTACCCGCATTCTTATACTACTAACCCACCGAGCGTTTGCCGTCTCCAAAATCCTATACGGCATAAAACAGGCACCACGGCTCTGGCAGCAGTATCTCCACTCACAACTGATCGTGCGATTTTGTCAACTACCGCATGACCAGGGAATGTATCTACTGACCGACGGCAACAACTATATTTTACTCGTCGCCTACGTCGATGACATCCTATACGTCAGTACTACCGATTCTCTTGCCGAGACCTTCATACTAAAATTACAGAAAAATCTACAGCTTACCGTCTCCGAAACAGTCTCACAGTTTCTTGGACTGAACATTACCTGTTCACCGACAACTATTCATCTCACCGCTTCGAAGTACGCAGCAACACTCGCTGCCCGCTTCAACCTCACACTACTGCAGTCTCTACACCGTACCGCTCACTACCGACTGACCACAAACCGAACACCGCACTGTTAACTTCAACCGGTTTACAGATCTATCAACAGTAACTAGGCTGTCTACTTTTCGCCGCTGTCACTTGTCGTCCTGATCTAGCCTACGCGGCCAGTCAGCTCGCAGTTCCTACGCCGTCCTGAGGAGGAGCATCAGCTCGATCTCTCCGCGCACTTCAATATTTTATCTCGACACCTGACGTCGGATTAGTCTACAACGTCATCGGTTGTAAAACATCTACCTACATGGTTTTGTCGACGCCGATCACGCTGCTGATTCTACTAATCGACGGTCACGCACTGGTTCATCTATCGACTGGAACCTATCGGACCTATCTCTTGGAATTCTACGAAGCAGGAGCTGATTGCACTCTCCTCTGCTGAAGCTGAGTTTATTGCTGTCTGCACAGCAACACGCAAAGGACTTTACTTACAGGAACTATTGGAAGAAGCGAAGTTGACGACAACTACCCAGTTTACCCTACAGTGCGACAATCAAAGTGCAATTGCATCGCACATCAACCTGGTTTCGTCAACAGGACGAAGCATATTTCTCTTCGTTATTTTTCGTCAAAGATGAAGTCGAGAAGGGGAGGATGCGATTGGTCTACTGTTCGACCAACGAAATGGCTGCCGATTTTCTCACGAAGAAGCTGACACGACAGAAGTTTCAGTACTGTAACAAGCTCTGCGGAATCTTCAAGAAGTGACACTATCGACTTCCAGAAATGAAGGGGAGTGTTGTGATATAATTGATACTTAGCATTTGTAAGTCGATTAGTGTAGTTAGTGTCGAATCTTACTGTAGAACATAAGTCCGTAGATGACGTCAGCAAATAGCGCTCGTCATAACTGTCGTTTCAGTCACGCGAACAGTCGCACCTCTTCAATATTAGAGCGCATAGGCGCATAGATAGTGACGAACAGGTACATTAGCGAATAGGTACTTTTCCTAGAACTATA